AAAGTCTCCTTAAACAATTAGAATTAATTTTCTCTTATCTCAGTACTCAGACTAAAGAGAGATTGTGGAAAACTAAAAAAGGGGGCTAAAGGAAGAAATTAAACCATGTCTAAAAGAAAAAATTACCCACTTTTAAAATTCCTTTTTTCATGTCTGTATCTGTTCGGGTTTTTTTTACCAAGTAATTTAATAGCTGTGAAATATTTAGCAGAATAATGAATCATACATATAATCCCTATGAAATTACTTATTTGTCACAAATACTTCTAACCTGTGCAGTAAAGATTATCTTTGCATCAAGGGATATCTTTCCAATAACTGAGAGAAGTAGCAAACCTCTGGAAGACAGAAAATATGAAGATGTAACACAATCTGGCCAAAAACAGAATGCAAAGCAAACAAACCCCAAACAGCCACTCCAACTTATTCAGCTTGCTGACTGAGTACTTCTCTGCTGAAACAGACATTATTCCAATGGATGCTCCCCAAAAACCTTAAGAAAAGATAGCAAATGCTTGATTTGGTGAAAAACTTGCTGGAATATGGTGGGAGGGGAAAAGAAAGGCATTTCTTCATATCCTGAAGACAATCTGACCTCCACAATGAGAAATCATGCAAGGCCAATGACCAGTTCTCAAAATGCAGACATATTACAACACAGCATTAAAGAAAATGAGAACAGCACACAAGGGAACATCTTGAACCACAAAAGCAGCAACTCATTCATCAGAGTTTGGGGATAATTGATGTCATTGCACAAGGCTGGAACAGTGCACATGAATCTGACTAACCATGTTCAGGAAATACTGGAGCAGGACTTCAGAAGAGGGACCATGGCAACAGAGAGCTTATGACAGAGACTAAAGAAAGCCAGTCTGTGCAGTCTAGTAAACAATGGTGGAGAAGGGGCCACTGCCTATAAATAAGCCAGGGCAGTAAACACCAGCTAAGAGTGCTAAGTCAGATAGAAGACAGTTCTGGACTAGAATAAATGCGTGAGAACTGACGGTGAATAAATTCAGATCAGAAATCAGGAGAAGTAATCCAACCCTTAGGTCCAGCATGCCAGTGAACTGAAGAGTCAAAAGGGAAATTCACCTGCTTAAAGATGGAGATTTGTCAACTGATGACATTAAGTGGGCCTGTGACAGCAGAAGACCGACTCAGTGACCCAGGAGGACTTTCTTTTAACTAATGTTTTCCTATTAGCTGACTATTTAGTCATCTTTCTTCTAGATGAAGAAGTGATCTTTCCCGCTTGTTTCCTGGACTGCTAAAGCAATGAAGACCTCTCATTTCTTCTCCAGGCACCAAGAAAATACTTTTAGGAAAGGAATCGTATTTACAACATGCAACTTCTCACACTTTTCCACTTTCTCAGTAGGGCTGCGAAGAGGACACTTGGGTCGTCATGTGCCATAAAATATGGTTCATTCTGACCATGTGACAGGCAGTCCAGAGGAGGGGCACAGAAGATTTGTGACAGATGCTACTGTGCTCTACCCCCTGCAGCATTACAGTACCAGAGTGATTAGGCACATTAGGTGGTAAATTTCAGCTGCAAACGGCATCAGTTTAAACAGGAGGGATGGTTAACATCAAGTGATTACTTCAAGTCTGTGTGGATCCTGATTTCTGCATCTTATAAGCAGGTAGTAGTAATGTTCTCTCCAGGCATTTTGGGTGGAAAGACCAGAAAATGCAGACCACAAAAAACTTCAGCACTGCTAAGAAGCTGCAAGTTCTGCAGCTAGTTTAGCACTGTACTAGGCTAATGGGGCCCCACTGGGCCTGAACAGTTTCTGGTATCAGCACAATCAAGTTGCCTTTGGTTTCTCCACTTCATCTCGGTATTTGTCTCCAGTGTCAGCCATGGCTAGACAACTTAACCACATCTCCTTTGCCTTCATTTGGGGCAGTTTGGCAGTAATCTCTTGGGAAGGGGAGAGGTGAAACTGAAGACAGATGAACTGCAAGACCTTTTCCTGTAACACACACGTCCTGGGCCAAAAGCACTGTAACTCTTCACAATGTTAAGAACAAAGCTTGCTGCTTTTTGCTGCACTTTCAGAACGTGACTGACAACAGCACTGCAGTAGCAGCATGCACTGAACACAGACAGTAGTAATTATCAGCATTGCCTTCCTTAAACTCTTTCCATTGCTATCCTACATCAACAAGCCCATCTGTTACTGCCACAGAAGAGATACCAAGAAGGAGCAATAGCTTTTCCTTCTGTAATGTGAAGGAACTCATGTTTGTGGATATAGCATGCTCCTGAATGTATCTGTCCCCCAACAGTATCTCACCCTGTTGTACCATGCCTTAAACCTAACATGAGCAAAGAAAGCACACAAACTGTTAGAATGTTAAAGTGGCATACACTAAATTATTATTAATGATATCATGCCAGTCTACTAAATGGGAGGAGCATGGTAATTGATTCATTAAGATGTTTCTAACAGATGGTTCAAAGATACACTTTTGGGAGAACCAACATAGCTGTCCCAAAAGATGGAGGTTGAAAAACATTGTTTTTCCATATGGGCCTTAAATAAGAATTTAAATTCAAAATACTGTGTCACTCAAAGACTGACGGTGAGAGGAAGCAAAGCTTACTTCAAGAGGCAGCTTATAGTAATTCATACTAATTTTCCAGTGACCACACTGGATTTAAAATTTTTCTATTATGTGTTCATGCTTTAAACCATTTTTTCTCTTAAAAATTCACATTGAGGCTGTGTACCTATTAAGCATTGAAAACACTGTGTAAATACTGAGACAAGCTACAAGTCTTGGAAGCATATTTTGTGTATACTACTTCCTATGTATCTGAGAAGTTACTTTCTCAATATTCCAAGTAATAATCTTATATTATAGCCCATCTTTCATCTAGGATACCTCAAATCAGGAATACAAGCTATCTCCTTTAGCTTGCCAGAATGTGTATATATTTATAATCTCACTTCTTCCACTTGCTTCTTTAATAGTTTGGAAAGACATAACCCACTTTTCAGAAATGCTTACAAACTCATCTCTGTTGATACAACAAATCTCTGTTAGTTTCATCCCAACTATTCAGTATAACAGCAACACAACACTTCGAACTTGCACAGCACACTCCATCCCAAGATCTTCCAAATAAGCAGTGGTTCTCCAAGCTTAGATGAGCTCAGTGAAAGCCCTTTGAAGTATCAGAGTTATAACAGGCTATTCTATGTCTTCAACGGAAGTGACCCCTACATGGCAAAAAGAGGCTGGGAAGATGAGGCAGGGAATGCAGTGCTCTGCACTGCATCCAGGAGGACATCTACTGGTTGCCGTGGTTGGCTAGGGCTATGCCAAAACAGCCCTGGTGAGCTCTGAACGCCAAAGCTGCCACAGCAGAAACCTACACCACTGAGATGCTTCCGGGCATCACAGAATCTTGGCAGAGGCGCAGAGCAGGGATTGGAGCTTTAGACTCTTCTGCTTAAAAAATGGGTTTATTTCCTCTTCAATTAAGTCAAGATTGAAGCTCCTTTGAGTTAGGTTTTATATCAAAATTTATATTCTCAGACCTGGTTTGTGGCTGCCACCACACCTCCAAGCCTAGTGGTTCTGCAGGTTCTGTAAAATCTATCCCCAAGAGATCATCAGCCTACATTAACTTTCATCCACATCCCAAAGTTCATCAAATGTTGAACACTGCATTTCAATGATCCCTGACAAGCCTCCTGACTTCTCTGAACTCCCTAGGGTCCACAAGAGCTCTACAGTAAACCTATTCCTGGGTTTTGGTCTCAAGAGGAATTCACCAACAAACAGCCTACAGATGAGCTCATTTTACTTTAACCCTACCATCCCCATAGGTGTGAAAATTTCAGGGCAAAAGATAATTCAACAGAGAAATAAGCAGCCATTATCCATTCAACAAATTTCAAGTTTTTTCAAGGATTAATGACTGCACTCTTTGTATCTCTGCATGCTCTCTGTATCTTTGATCGCACTGTATTTCAGAGTGAGCCAAGACAAACAGCATTTGCAGACACTATTGCCTTGTCACCTAGGTGTGGCAAAATGTTCCTACCAATCTTTACCCACTACTAATTCATTGCACAAAATAAAACCTGTGCTCCTCTCTTATCCCGAGAAATGCCAGCTGCTTCTGGGCAGTGGGCATTCCCCACTGAACAAAGCTCCCTGTGAACCCCTCGCAGGAGTGGCAGTAGAAAAACTGGCATCTCACACTCTACAGGTTGCTCTCCTCTTTGAGGGAATCTCTTTGGTGTCAAAATACAAAGACACAAGAAAGAGCCTTTTTCTGTCTTCCTCTCTGATAGTTGCAGTTTAGTGGCAAAGTATATAAAAGCAACAAAAAATAAGCAAACCTTTACATACGCTAGGTATCAAATATCAAGGTGATGATGTCCAAGGAAAGCTTTCCTCCTGCCAGTTCAGGCTATAGCCACATGAACTATGACAGAATAGCAGTCACCCACACTTATTTACCTACTGTACTGACCACTGCCCAGGCTCGAGCATCCCACGGCAGATGTGCTCTGGAGACCAGAAACAGCAGTTTACCGGCACAACAATGTTATTTCCCAGCAGGTTAAAAGCACAGCTGAGGTCTAGCTAGTTTCAACTTCACAGTATAGTAAGAAGCAACACCTCAGTGAGCATTTTCCTCTTGCAGACGCAGATAAACTTCAACTGGCGAGTGCTGCTCTCCTCGCCACAAGCACGCCAGGAACATGAGCCACAGGCACGCCTGCTCCAGCGGGAGCAGGTGAAGCAAACGCTGCCTTACAGCGATTCTCCTGCGGAGCAACAGCTCCCGAAGGCACAGCTCAACACAAGGCCCGAGGCTGCTCTGCGGTGTGACTGAGCAGAGCGGCAGGGGTTGATCAGGTCACCCACAGACCCGAATGCCCTTCCTAGGAGGGGGCAGAACCAATCCCCCATCCTGCTTCCCCCCTCCCCTCCTGGGCAGAAAGCAAGCAGAACACTCCTCCTACCTGAACTCGGGCAGGAGGTTTGGCCGCAGCCCATAGAAAGCCGCCGAGAGAGTCACCAGCCAGCCGGGTTTGTAATTCCCATTCTCACACTCCAGGTACGGTGAGGACCACCTGATGTGGTTCTTATCAGCAGTGAAGCTCTCCCGCCTCTTCCAACTGTTCTCCAAAGTTTTGGGGCCCGTGTTTAAGACCTTCCTGTGCAGATGCGGCCTCCACTTGCGCTTCAAGCTGTGGAACCACTCTGTTTCCACGGAGGCGTTGGCCAGGCGGTGAGCCGTGGAGGACAAGTCCTGCAGCAGGACCTGGCTCTCGTGCCTGCTGGCCTGGAGGAAAACCTGGGGAGTGGAGGAGAAAGGCTCCGTGCTGAAAGTGATAGCGGCCCTGGAGATGTTTGGGTCCTCCTCCAGCAGGCTCCTGATCAAGGCGCGGTACCACTCCAGGTCCTCCTGCAAGTTCTGCTCCCGCGACTTATTGCTCTGGAGGATCATGTTGAGTAAGTTGGTGGCGTGGGTGAGGGTGCCCAGGGCGCCGTGCAGAGAGGGGTGCGAGGTGAAGCGCGCCTTGCCGGCGAGGCTGGCCAGCTCGTACCGCCCGGAGCAGTTGGCTCGCCGCAACTCCCGGGAGTCGCCCGTGTAGAGGAACGAGGCCACGTCCTGGGGCACCTCCTCGGCGAGCCGCTGCGCCAAGATGGTGCTCTCCGTAGAGCGGCTCCGCGGGGCCGGCAGAGGCTCCCGGCTCTTGATGTGGTTGTAAATAGGCTGCTTCCCTCCGAGCGCCCGCTCCCGGCCGCGCACTGCCTGCCCTTGGTCGGCGGCAGCCCCCAGCCCGCGCTGGGCGAGGAGCAGGAGAAGAAGGAGCCGGAGCAAAGCCATGT